GTCTTCCTCCTTACTGCCTCTTCACTGAATTATGGCAACGTAAAGGAGCGGTTATTGGTTGTCTTCGCTGTTACTTTTCTGGATGATAAATGGCTCCTCTTATGCCTGGTTTCTATGGTGCTGCACACCTCCACATTCCTTCTGCACTTTGTGGCTTTGGAGTTTCCTTCGCAAATACGTGGTTTTTGTACTTTTAAAATTTCAGCTCCCCATCTCCCTGACCCTGCGAATATGGGATATCTACTTGCTGGAGGGCGAAAAAGCTATGGTCGCTATGGCCTATAACATCCTCAAAATGCACAAACGTGAGTTCGCGCACACGCCTAGGCGGCCCTAGTCCCAGCTGTACCAACCGACCACTTTATCCTCCCCGATAACTCATCACAGCCAGGTCTTTTTCGAACATTATTTGCACTTCGATCAATCCCATTATAAATTTTGATTGTTAGTGTAGCTACTTAATTCAGGAGCGTTCAATGCTAGTAGTGCAACCCTCCGTAAATGTACTTGTGGAAGATGCTTTTGTTCGCCCATGGAGCATTTGTAAATTTCCAAAAGTACCTCAAATTCACATATCTTAGTAATTATCATCAATGGTTTTACTGCCAACTGCTAAAATGTACAGACTATCTACCTAACTATTTTAAAACTAGTATATTTTATTCAATGTGCCGTTATTTTACTTTTGTCCCTTATTGTCGCAGCTGAAATACAGTTGCTACTCAATTGCCTGATTGTCAGTAACGTGGTTCTTTTTTTCTATGGTCAGAACGCCTACTTCGGATGGACCAGATGCAAATTCTCACCTTCCTTCAGGATGAGATTGTCCGAGATTTCGGCTTCGATGACGATGATGTTATCGACGCATTGAAGGATTGCCTAGAGGATCTGCGACGCACCAATATGGACGCCCCTCCACCCCTTAGTGAGTGCCCCTTATGCATATTTGTCCTCACGGCCTTCAGGTAGAATTTTACACCTTACAACATGAATTGTAACTGTCTTAAACATCTTGCGCTCGATTTTTCCCTGCCAAGTGATTCTCAATATTTTTCGCTTATTTGGTTCTGTTTTTTAATTGCCACTACCTACTTAAATGGACTGTGAACAGTAGTATCGGCGGTCGGCCACAAATAAGATCTAATTCCAGAGTTTTCTTTGGCGTAACACGCGTGTCATTACCGAAGAAGCAAAAAGACGTGCTGATTTGCAATTAGGTTTATTATCAGCTTACAGGTCCGAGGTGGCCTAGGTGTGACCACGACGTTGCCATCAAAAGGATGACTGAACCTGTGGAGGCCGAAGTAACTGGGCAGTTAAGGAGACCGCTTAAACAGCTATCGTTCTTTTGAGTGCCCTTTGTAACGCTCTCTGCCGTCATTCCTATTCTTTGGCCGTCACAAGGTAGTCGAGTGCTTTCAAGTGTTGTTTTTCTGTCAGGGTGAGATGACATTTGATTTCAGCAGCAATAACCCATCCCCTCGCCTTCAATGGATATTCGTGGGGTGTGTTTGGGAAATTTATAGGCTTTGTACTGCTCAAGGCTGGTTGTCGCTCCACTGAGAATTCACTTCATTCGTCAATCGCTGTTCATAGGAACACTTGCTGAGAAACACAATAGCATTTAGAAAAACGGAGGGCAATTTTAGTGAAGCCGCTTTTGGTATCCATTACCCCTCGTCACTATTCCCATTTCGACGCCGTTCAGCCATTAGAATGAACCATTTGTAGAGAAGCACGGATCTTTTACTGTTCGATTCTGTTTTCTCTCCATCGCTGTTAGTGTTATCACAGAATACGAAACTAAGGTAGTTGCCAAAAGTCGACGTGACCTTCGTGCTCTTTCTGTCGGGAGTCTACACAATCACATCTCTCCGTGACAAACATCTTTTCTGACCCTTGAGCGCAGTATCTAGCTAGTTCTAGAGCTCAATCTCATAGATGCGTGGGTGGACTCACGTAAGATGGGAATAAACCCCCTATTTATGTAGATATGCAATCACATTATAGCCTACTGAGATCCCTGTTCAGTAGTCTTGCCTCAAATATGTATACGCACGCTTTTTCAGTGGCAGATATGTTGCCGAGTCCAGAAAGGCACCAGCCACCCCTAGACGTCTGGTAATTCCGACTACACAATGATAACGAATACGAAAATGATGGTGCTGAACGAAAAGGTCACTCGGAGAGGATCGAGGGTAGATACTCGCGATCATGCGTCGCATGCGGCGGCCGCGTTTTCATCCAAACCCTTCTGCTTGCATGTGATGCACCTTCTTAGCGTGTGAAATCGCTAGGACTGATGTCAAGCTAGAGAAGGGTTCAGTAGTGAACGGTAGTAGATAGTACAAAAAAACGGATACCACGTGGTGGCCTTATCGTTCAATTCTCCCGCTTGCATGTGGTGGGTCTACTTAATTGCAGCATGGCTAGCCTCAATAGTATTGGCAAAATGAGTAAATGGTCACTATTTTGAGCTGCTTACATCCACTGAAAGGTAGCACTCGTTTGAAGGCTCCTACTTAAATACACCTATAAGTATTAGGTTCCCCTCAAATGGAGCTTATTTCTGATTTAGCTGAAATAAAGTGCTTACTTTCTGTCGCTCGCATGCATCGCAAACGTTGATTGGTTGGGGAATAAACGACTCATCTTCCCCTTTCTTCTCGGGTTTAATTTTAGCCGCCGATATGTTGCCCACAAAGTCGATGGGTCAGGCGCCAGCGGTGTGGGAGGTCTGGCACTCCGACGACGAGGATGCTACCAAAGTAGAACAGAAGCGACAGAACCGGAAATCAAAATTAATAGAGACCGGTGCCACTTCCTCTGGTGCTGGTGCCGTCCTCGTGACAGCGGACGGCGTTCTGAAGTCGGATGAACTGCGAATTACAACACCAGGGTCGATGCCGAAGATGAGGAAGCCGTTATCTGGGGTCAATTCTGAGGCATCTACAACCCATAGGAGTCAGCAAAGGCAGTCTTCGTCGATAAGTCCACAGGTGAGGGAGAAAGTGGAATAGATTGATGGACGGATGTTTGGGTCCGAAATATATGACTGAATGGCCAGACATATGGAAGAGTGGTGAATGGAACCAATCCCTCCGTGTTGTTTTCACTTCTACTGTCGCATCTTGGAATCGCACGAACTTCATTTTCGCATTCCAAAATGTGACTTCCTTGTCTCTTTGGCAGTCACCTCATTCCACGGACTCTCGACGGCGCCTGCGGGGAAGTCAGCAGTCCACGAACTCCTCCGGCTCCGTTTTCACCTGCCCTTGCACCTCCCTTGAAAACCCTCCAACAACCAGCAATCACCATCACAGCCTACCCAAGCGTAATCCTCGTGTATGTTACCTCAAGTCTGCTCTTTTATGTGTATTCTAGTAGCATGTTTCTTTAAGAGTTCACTTTCAACAAATTTAGAGCGTCAAGAGTCGCCCAAAGCTATCCACCAGCTCGACTTTTCAATCACAACGACGGCCCAACAGTGAAAAGGCGACAGCCGTGAGCGAGGAGAGGGAGGGAGGCGAGGAGGAAAACGTGTGGTTTATCCCCTCGGGAACTGTTTGCACTGCAGCCATCACCCAACCTCATAGTCGAAGAAAAGAAGGCACCGAGCGCCGAAGGAGTTCAAAAACCGTTAATGCGGATCTGCCACCACGAGACTACAAAGTGGTCAAGGAGGTTGATGCTGTAAAGAAAGCTGAGGGTTAGATTTAAATTTTTCCGACGGAAACAGTTTTTTTGTGGCCTTGAGTCTATTCAAACGAATAGGGAGAGCTTGTTTTATGTAACTAGAGGGTAATGCCACCCCATCCTGGAATCATGCTAAACCACCGCCTCAGCTGCAGAAGTTGAAAATTTTCACCAAAGATGTGACGACTTCCAAAGTTGTCTCCGAGATCGCGTGGTCTCCCCCTGCGAATGATTCGACAATGGGAGAATCATCACCCCTATGGACAAGAAAAACACCCCCCTCGCCCTCCTCCCCCAAACGCACGGTTTATACGAACCTCGGGAACCCAGATTACTTTGTAAGTCGTAAAATATTCGTTGCTTATTTTTTTCAATAGCCTGTTACTACCATTATATTAGTCTGGATCTCATAGTGGCTGAGCTTCGAAGGCGGTTAGATGAATCAATGATCGGGATTCATGATCCTTTGTTTATTTTTATCCGTCAGTTCATTGCTCACCTTCTCTTTTTGCAGTATGCGCGTTTCTAAGTGAGTGACACAGATTGTGCTGTTCTTGTTGCTTTTGATATTGAACAATTTTCCCCATTAACCACTCTGGCTTACTGTGTTGTAGCTCACTTTTTCACGACTGCTTTCAGCCTTGCACCCGGTAAAACTATTTCTTCGTCACGTTGGTTGATTGCTGTCCAATGTCGTGCATTTTTGGGCGTTTAAAATTGGCGTTTCCTTTGCTAGATTTTTACAAATTAAAATATCCACGTTTGTCTTTTCACCAAACTCACGAATAAATGGGAACCAATCAACTAAAATATCAGATGATTGCACCCCATTCAATGATCAAGGCTTCTAAGCTGAATTGTGTACTAAAGATAGCTAAGTAAAGTTATTTTTATGCAGGCGCCCTATGTACAGCGACCCCGCAGCGGCTTCACCACCAACAGGGGCAAGGGTGGCAGACATGGCAGTAGTGGTGACGAACGGTGGAGCGTCCATGGCACCGTCTCTGTCTTCTCCTATCCCCCTAGCGCCTGTTCTCCCCTCTATCCTCCTCCACCTCAACGCCAAGATTGAATTTCATACCCTCCTCCCTATCCTGCCCGCCAGCTAACTTTTCTTTTACCTCGCGGGTAGTTTGATGAATTGGCATTATGTCTTTCAATGAAATAAAACATCCAGTTAATTAATATCAAGAATGTGTTTTTCTAAGCGTAGGTGGGTCTGAGTTACGATTGTAATTTCGTTTATAAATCCCTGGAAATGTGTTGGAACTGAACTTGTCTCTAATGTCATTTTGTATGAGTTTTATCTGATTTTCTACTTTAAACTATAAAGGCACTAGTAGATATGTTTTATGAGAAAATGGGACTTATTTCTATTCCTGTTTATGTGTGTATCAACTGACGCTTCAACGTTGCACGCCGTGTGTGCTTCCCCCACAGGCATGTTGGGAGTCCCTGTTTTTGTGTTTCAAGGAGATTGTTTGGACTTAAAACGAGGAAACTGGCCCAAGGTCTTCCCAAGTTGGGGGTAGCTGTACTTTTCAGTCTGTATACAACACGATTTTAAGTAAAACATGCCAGCGAGACCTGCAATTGACTGCTTCAGCGCCTAAATAAAATTGAACAGTTTGTGGGTTTCCTAAAATACTTTTTACTTGCAACATATAAGTAAAAATGTTACCTCTGACTAAAATTGGTCATGCTGTGCGCATATATATACACATGCAATCTCGCAGACGGCTTCAGACTGGTTGAAACAATGGCGCTTCTTAGATTTTACCTTGGGTTGAGCTTGATTTTCTTCCTCACGCTTGCAGTGATTGGCAAACCTCATGGCTTGTTGCCATCCTCTAATTGCTATTGCAATGGCACCAACTACTGCCGAATGGAAGTTTCCATGGATCGGGATCGAGCTCGTCCCTACTGCTATTATTCGCCTTATCCTGCTTCAAAAAATCTGGCAAATCGAGTACTTTGTAAGTGTTTACATTAAACATCACAAAAGTCATGAAACGATCTTGGGATCACTTGAACTCAGGCCCTGGATTTTAAAATCGCTTAGAAGTTTAAATTACCTCCATCGCCCCTTAAATGAAAAGCGGTTTTTTTTTTTGGTTAACTAATAGGAATTGTACACAGCTATTCATTTTTCAAATATCTTTATTCTAAAACAGCTTTTTGGTTCAATGGTCTACTTTAAAACAAACGAATCTGAATTATCAAATTAGTTAGTAGCTAAATGTTAGTCTGGTTTTAAATGACTCCTTCAGATCCTTCACCAGTCCTCTATTTTCAAAGGAATACCTGCGGCCTACCGCCGTTTTGGAGAAGAAAGGTCATGCTCAAGATTATCGGTGGTCAGAGGGCGCTTTTACATTCCTGGCCTTGGATGGCAAGTTTTGCAGCTCCCTTTGATACCGCCTTTTTTTGATATTTACCAACCTCATATGGTTGAAATAGCTCTGAAGACAAGGAAGTCTTCGTAGCTTAGAAAATCGGGCTTATTCGTTGCTTTGCGAATGGAAATCAAACGAAATGAGAATTAAACTTTAACTCCATTATCACAGGCCGGTATCTACCTATTAGAAATGCGTCGAGATCGAAAACGTGGGCCGTACAACACACCGGGCGTTATTCCTCTCTGCGGTGCCTCCCTTATCTCCCCACGACACCTCATCACCGCGGCGCACTGTGTGTTAACATTTAACCTCACGACGGTCCTGTCAGTGCCAGTCAATCACTGGTTCCCTCCACTGCCCTACCTTCAGGCTCAGATCATCGTGCGTCTGGGTGATCACTACCTGGGTAGGGTAAATGAAATGTGGCAGGAAGATATCCTTGTCGACGAAATACTTATCTATCCCAGTGGGACCAACTTTCTCGAGTCTGATATCGCGATTCTCAAGCTAAAGAGACCGGTAGAGTTCTGTGAGTTTATTACGTATTGTAAGCTTTAATTTCCACTCCTCGTTGCACTACAAAGGCCTCCTCTCCTTTTAAGTAAAACCTTTAGGTGGCATTGTTTTGTCGCGTGTCACTACGCCTTGATTTGCCTAACAGACTGTTACCGCTTCTGCTTTTCACATCAGCGACGGGTGTTCAACCAGTCTGCATCCCACCGCCTAACTTTGAGTTGGCCGCTGGAACAGAGTGCTACGCGGTCGGTTGGGGTCTCACTGAGAAGTTTTTTGAGCAGGTACCCAAAGAACTTATGGAGACCAAGATTCCTATAGTTTCAACGGCTGTATGTAAAATCCACTCCAAGTATGTCAAAGAGGGATTCCATACCTGTGCCGGTGGACAAGAGAAGGTAAGGAACAAAGAGGAATTTAGTCTCTGTGTAATTAGATGTGAGCACCTAGATTTGTGGTCTCACTTTAAATCTCCTCGCCACTATGCAACTTGTCACAATATCAAATGAAAATCTATTTAAAGGGACTTGATGTTGGCCTTATTGTAGGCGGAGTTTGTACACACCCAATTACTGCTGTAAAGTCACCACTCAGTAAGCAACCTAATTCTGAGAGCTAGGGCATTTTCTTTTGCCTTAAGAATCCACGGCATGGTGATAGCGGTGGCGGTCTCTACTGCAAACTTCACGAGGACGACGACCAGTGGTATCTTTACGGCGTGACTAGCTTCGCCACTTCGCTTCATGGACCCTGCGCCTTTGTCTATGTGCCGCGATTTACTGAATGGATCCATAGACACGTTCTTGAATAACACTTTCGTGCCAAAAAAATGGTTCTGTATTTAAGGAAAGAACAAAACTTTTTGATAATGACAATAGCAACCGTTTCATTACAATCACCTATAGGTGAAAACTGACTGGTCTACAGGCAAAAACCGGTTAATGTGACAGGAAAGATAGGGTACCTTCGTGAAGATGCAATCTTTATCCATTTCTTCTTGATACTTTGTGCCCATTTTAGTATTGTCTAATCACAAAGGTAGTGGGATGTCTTCTCTTCAAGAGGCCCTCATTACATTCCTTTAGTCGAAGATTGGGGTCATCTAAGGGGACAATTTGCCTTCGATGAGTTTTCTGTGTGGAATCCTGAAAGTGAAATTTGGAATACTGCTCTTTTGAAGGGGAATTTCCCAACTTCACCATCAAGTTGGTGGTAGCGGCACCTCGGAGGACATTTTAAGTGTGACAGTTAAGTGTAGGCCTCTAAATCATCAGTGTGTGTGTGGACCCTGCATGATAAAAGTAGAGGTCATCCACTAATTAGGACGTCCATGAACCTTCTGTATAAACTACGCTGAATAATTATTCTTGGCAGTAAATCAGTGGCAGTGGTAGGCAGGCCTGTTTCAAGCGGGGAAGAATCCCGAAATCGCTGCTGTCTAACAACTAAGTCGTGGAGGCTCAAAAGAGGATGGTTGATAGGGCTTGGTCACACTATTCTTTAGGGGGACAATTGGCACGTGAAGCGACACCAGACTTGAATGTACTAGAAACGATGGTTTTGGAGCTGTTGCTTTGGAGAAATTCAGAGATCTCACCTCCTCAATGCTCCTAGAAGCTGATTTGAACCCACTCAAACGAATGGGGAGCAATGAGGCTTGAAAAAAGCAATAAGGAGGGGGAAATCGTTGTTGGATGCTGCCTTTCTAGGGAGCCCAGTAAATAGCTTCTTTTTGGGCCTGTGCTTTCCTCACCTAGCAACTTACATAAATGAGTATCCTATGACCTTGAATAGCACAAAACCAGTGGATCACCACAATACAGTTCACAGAAAGGACAAAACTGTGGCTCCATCCAAATCGGTATGATAGATAAGTAAAACTGGGATGAAATCCCTTCCTGCCTCAGCGGTAGACTAATGATTAATCCCGGTTTGCAACCGGTGGATGGTTGTTTGCAACACTTACTCTGTTGAAATGTCTCGGTAAGTGGAAGTTTGAGCAACAAAAATGAGAGCCTACATCGCCACCGAGGACGATAAAGTTGTGCAAACAACTTGTGGAAGGTACATTAAGTCTTGGTGCAAAGACCTCCCGAGATGCAACTGGTAATGCCAAATGTTTGGCATGAAAGTTGACAGCAATAGCTTCCTACTCTTGAGAACTATTTACTTCGGCAAGAAGGTTAAAACAGGAGAGAGGGATCGCTACACCGTGCAATTGCGTGATTCAAAGAATTTGTTTGCTTTTATAGACCCACGTAAATATTTGGGTAAATTTGCGCCGTAGGCGTGGCCTTTTGCTGGCGTCGTTCTTGCTTCCAAGCTTTCAGGTCTTCTCCACTTTTAGTAATTGACCTTCCTCTAAATCCGTTGAAGCTATTGAGAGAAATATTGACTCTACGGTACCCAGAAGTAAAACTAGGCCAATTAAAGAAAGAAAAGACCCGCTTGACTTGTTCTATGGCTTTTTAGACCATCCTCTTTCCACAGAAGTGATCTAGCTGTAGACCACTTGGTAAGGGCCGCCCGTCAAAATCACCTCACTTATTCAATGAGGAACTTTTTGTGGTCACAGGTCCATAAATATCTCAAATTCGCACAGCCACGAACCTGTCGGGATGAGGGGATAACACATGGATGTGATGGTAGAATTATTCGACAGCACTCCAAGTTGGCCCATTTTTATGCACGACCTTAAAGGTGTTAGCAGGAGAGATTGTCGTTATTGTCGCCTGTGAGGAAAGTGGATGTAAACTTCACCTCCTCTAATCTGATCGGTAAGTTAAGCAGTGAACTTGAGGTAGGGCTAAAGCGGTCCAAGGTGTGTCAATAGAGCGTTTCGAGACACGAAAAGGATCCAGTTTGGTAGAAATTTTGCAACATGTTTTGTCTGATAAGAAATGGATTGCGCAACGTCGTGAAACAGAGTGATTAAAAGATTTTATGCCCAAAGTTGCGGCTAAAAGGCCACTGCTACCTAGTTTCCTTTTTAGAAAAACCATGGCCTAAATGGTTTGGCTTCAAGCATGACAACCTTTGCATGCAACGAAATATGATTTCCAAAGAGTTTTGCATAAAATGAAGCGATCAAAGGCAAAAAATGCTTAAATTTAACTTGAAATAAAGTGAAGTTTAATATACTGCTTACTTCCATTTCAATAGACTAAATTGTAAGAGTTTGTGCATTTTATTCACATTTCATAATGAACCCTCAATTAGAAGTCCAGATTTGAATTCCTTCTTTTGTTGATATTAAAAATATGCTGAAATATTATTTAGCCTATGGAGAGGAGATAAATAACGTGGCAAGAATCTGGTCATAGGTCACCGAGCTAGTTGTAACCGACGGCCAGATTATAAAAAAATATTTACAATTTGTCTATTATGGTATCTTCAAAGCCCAAAAGGAGAAGAAAATTCAGAGAATCATTTTGTTTCTTGTAAAGATATAGGATTCTGCACATAAAATCGTTCGAAGATACTATAGTAGGTCGTTAGTGCACTTTGCTGTACGCCTTCACCACCTCTATGATGGTTGTAAATGCTCCTATCCGCATCGTTCGTGTTGCTAATCTGTTGGCTCCCCCTGCCTTCACACTGAGCTTTTTTTTAAGGTCAGATGTGTGGTAACACCTTCAAAGATACCTCATTTTTTAAGACTCTTTTTCATCCACTTCTTGACGTGGAATATTTTGCACATGACCAAGCTATTCCAATGGCAGCTTACATTAAAGTAGGCAGACGGTTGTTGTACAAAACAATATTTCAAGACCAAAAAATAGGAGAGCCGAAGTATCCCGTTTGTGGGAGGGAACAGGTGAAGATGATAGGATGGCTCTAAAGACCTCAATCGGTTCGGCATCACGACCACCTTTGCCATTCGTTCAAACTAACCAGTTAAATACTCGCCCAAGTTTGATCGAAGACAGAAGCTGGCTAGAGGCAAAGGCATCACCAAAACCACAGATCCGCTAGCTGTAATGCAGGCTATCGCCTCCAACTTTTTAGTGACTGCCATTGTTGTGATAGCCACTCCTAAAGCGTAAGGGTTGGGTGCTGCAAAGTAGATGCTGATACTTCTTCAATCGCAAAGATTTTTGCGTCTTTTGTGCTTCAACGCAAACGTTGAAAGTAATGCCATCTGCAGATGTTACCTCTCTGCCCATTCCTTCAAGATTTCCATCCCTCATAACTTTTACGCCAATTACTCGGGGTCTACAGCTTAATGGCGGCATCAGCAAATCGAGCAAGAAACCCGATCCAATTAAGCGGATTCTACTCAACAGGTAGCATAGAGAGAGAGTGTATGAATTTTGTCGATTAAAAATAGGACGTTCTCGAAATGAAAAAGGTCCCGTACCAGGTTTATGTCCATACCTTCGAGATCGGTTTGGATGTAGTCAACCAAAGCCACATCGAAACAATTTGAGAGCATTCTAATAAAACCTGATATGGAAAATTGCTTAAAGGTATAAATTAATAAATTAGGAAAGCTATTTGAACAGTGGTTGACTAGTAAGAGCGTAGCACAGCAGAGGCTAATTTTGACCGCGGTTACGTGTGGCTAGTTGAGTGCTATAGCTTTCTACGAAAACCGACAGATGGAATTTGCTGGCTATAAAAAGAATTTAACCATTAGGTGCATCTTCAAAATACCCTCCCCTCCAAAACACTTCATCCAGCTGAGGAAACAGTGAGGCGGATTAAGAAGACTTTCCGCCGTGAATCAAACCTCCAATGTCCTTCCCGTTCCTGTCTTGTGGTTGATTGCAATCTACTCGGATGGTAGTGATAGCCTAAGCAAAGCACTGGTTATGGAAAGCGTCGAAGACTGGGTTCGTACTACTGCGGGTTGTATGGCGTGGTGCCCGACTCTTATTATCTGCGGTGATCCTACAGTCCCTCAGGCATTCCGCGAGTTGACAACAAATGTGCTTTCGCCCTTACATAGCCTAGAAAGGAAGATGGCACCTTGGATAAGCACTTGATCCGATGAGTTTTTACCAGTGAAAACGAATTGTAGGAGATTCTACGTGGCTTAAGCGATGTTAAATAAAGAGGAGGGATCCAAACACTGTTTTGCGTTACTAAATCATGCTTTGAATTAATTAATAAAGTCCTATTTATTTTGAAGCGAGCAACTGCGTTCATTATGACTCCGCGAAGGTACTAGAAAGCTTTTGGCACGCCCGGAACAAACATGCGAGGCGATGTGACGTCAACGTGTTGACCGAACCGGCGGTGTACAGATGCCCTAGTGTGACGGATCCCGACCCACAACTATAATTACACCCACTACCACCCAAAAAAGTCTACTTTGCTCGGTACTATTTTAGTTATTTCCTCACTCTAGGGTTAAAGAGCGCCTTCAGGAACAGAGTGTGCGCAAACACGCAGGACTGGTGAGATCACCGAAGTGTTAGGTGTCCAATCAACATCTCCCAAACTCGGAATAGAGTGGGCCCCACTTGCCATGACATATTGTCAGAAAAAAATACTACACATTTATTCGGCCACTTAAACATCACAAATGCAAGGGTGGAGAAGGAGGGGAAGGAGGAGAAAGAGATGAACATGATAGGTAGAGGAGGAGGAGGGCAATGAGCAGAAGAGAAAGTGTTAAATTCCTAAGCGTAGAGGAATCGACAGGAGGAGGTAGAGAGAAGACAAATGGGGCGGAAGATTTACAGCCAGAAGGGTTTGAACTAAATAGCTAGAAAAAAAGAAGAGGAGAGAGTAATTAGTCAAGTTTATTTTGGCCCGTCACTGGGCTGCCCAAAATCCACGCTGCTTCTCCCCATGTCATTGCGCTGCTAGAAATTTTCGAAAGGCGGTAACAGAACAATAATTCCACAAATCAGACTCAAAAGGATACAGAGGGGTCTCTCCCGAAACAAACACAACTACTACCTTTCTCGTGCTTCCACCATGGTTCCGAATTGCGTCAAATGCTGCACCAAAGAGGTCTCCATCGATATCGTTAGCGGCACTGCAGATAACCCTAGCTCTAAGAGTAGCACACTTCGCATTCGTCCTAGAGCACAGAACAGAAATTGAAATGGAATAGCTTGTTCTCAAGAGATCCAATGTGATGCTTAGGTGTGGATGGATGGGGACGTTCAAATTAAACCGGGACTTTTGATTTCACATCCTTACAAAATGTTAAGTGTGTTTTGTAAGCTCCACTAACAGCCAGTGCATATATTGTAGACCACTCGAGACCCTCACGATCAAGCAACAGTGGTTCTGTGAGCATGAGACATGCAAAACGTGGAGGTCAACAAAGTTTCCTTCAACAGAAGGCATGAAACTTGCGAGCATCCCCCATCTACAGAATACTTCAAGCACAGTGCGATGAGGGCGGACTCAGCCACCCATCAGTAAGATATGTGGATGGTGGAAGAAGTTCATAGATGGCTCTAAGTCTGCAAATCAGTGGTGACCCTTGGCCGTGGTGGTGCAGTTTCCAACCCACAGCCTCGGCATTCTTGTAAACACTTGGCCAATACCTGAAACGCTTATTCAACGCGAAAAGAAACCAGCAACTTCGCAGTGCTGCCACAAACAGTTCCGGGGTGGTAAAACCATAATGAAGAATTTTTCCATATCTCAAAGCTTTGCAAGTATTAGTTGAAGACTGAAATAAATGTGTGAACTCAGCAGTGAACTAGGCCAAAATTCATTTTGGAAGTCTCGGTTCAAAACATTCTTTAAAGAAATAACGGTACTCACGATTTGGAATTGGGTTGAAGATCACCTAGGCTGTAGGTTTGTCGAACGCCTCCAGCGTTCGGCAGTAGTGCTGACGCTTCACTCAAACCTCGTCGGTGGCCGACCCTGTGTAGAGGTGAAGATTTGGTGGATGCGGTAACGCCAAAGGGCTGCTGCGGTGGTTTCAATAGGCCCTCCGAATGGATGGAATTCTGCACAATTAAGGTAAATCAACGTTTGTACGTCTCCCCAATGATCCAACAGCAGGCTGATCTCAACAGGGCATTAAGTTGATCATGTTTGAAAGCTGATCCATTCGTACTTTCATTGGGAAAAAAGTCTCCCAAAAGAGAAGATGAATCGAAGGAGGAAGGGCTGTGATCTGTCAGCGTGAAATGTCACCGCAGAGACACCGACTACCCACCTAGTGCTACTAAAGGAAAGTGGACTACTTCACACCCGGGGCCTTTTATCTACTGATTCCCAAAATGTGAACTGACTCCGCTAGTTTGCAACCAGTCAAGAAGAAAAAACGCCTTGAACAGGAGGAGTCCACTTCGATAAAGGATCAAATGAAGAGCTTAACCATGGTTTAAACCATCAACCTGAAAAGCAGTGGATGAATGCGGAGGATTGGGAGGTTTGGCAAGGATAGGAAGTGGCTCTCCACCACTATCACCACCAACGGGAGTGGTCCTCATCGTTGAGGGTGGGTTCATAACTGCCCGTGGTCGTCGACGCGCGATAGACGGTGAAACTGCATGCGTCTTCGTAGGTGTCGTCACCGACGTCTCCGTTGTCGTCAAGGTGGATATGGCGGAGGTACGTATAGCTTGTGCGAACTCCCTGTATAGTGGAACAAATAAGTTGACCCTGAGTGAAGCGACTCATGCAATCGCATAAAATGAGTTGCTGATCATAACAAAAAACGGTGGTAGTTGAACTTTTAGGTGATCAGAGGGCGTACTCAGAAAAAAAGTGCCCCGGACATCGCTTCAAGATCTATCAATCGTGCAAGGCACAAGATATGTAAGTTTGTAGGTTTAGTAAAAATCACTTTTTCTCACTAACATACCCTCTTGAATTGACTGTAGTGATAGGAGAAGAGGCGATGGGGTGAGAAAATGAGGAGGACTTGGAAGAGGCATCCATGAGACCGGTGGTCGGCAGGGAAAGATTTTGCCAGTCAGGTACCCTCCTGGACTGCCAATAACAATGAAGGAGGTAAACAGAGTTTCAGCGGCATATTTTAAGGAGGAACCACTGTTAAATGAGCATCGCCTAGATCTCTGCGATATAACAGCTATGCTCCTAGCCCTACAGCTCTTCTGATAGTGTAGGAAGGCTTTTGATGAATGACCAAAGCCGATAATAGGCGCCTCATCCAATCAAATTTAAGCTAGAAAAATTTAACCTTCAAAAGTTTCTTTTTTCATCATCCTTTAATGAAGACTCACGTTGACGTTTTGCACCGGGTTTGGTCGTCCGAGGAGGGAAAATGCGAGAGCGGCCACCTGGTAGATGTCTGGTCGCTCTGCTCCCGAGATCGTCAGCATGTAATCTGCGATGGTAACACGACACTCCAATTTTAAGCATTCATAAAACAGCCAAATCTAACGAGATTTTTTTGATGAAGACTGTCATCAACTTACAAGCCAAATTTTGAACGAACGACGTAAAAGTGACATTCTTACTGATGTTTTACTCCACCAACCAGTTATTGGCTCTGCTTTTGGTAACCAACCCGGAAGGAATTTTTGTACCCAAGGCACAGTTTTTCAAAAAAAGGCGGAAATTTTAAAATTATTGCTCTTGTAACAAAGAGACAACTTCCCTGCGTATTGCTTGGAGGACTTTGCATCCAGTTAACAATAATAGAGAAAATAGGGGCTAACAAAAGCAAGGAAACGCTAAAGTATAATAGAAAGTACCATGCTCATTTCCTAAGTAAAAGAATGTACAAGTGCATTTGAGATTAAAGGGGTTCAAAGAGACACTTAGTCTCATCAAACTCGGTTCTACAGATTAGGAGGAAGTACTTTTTATCACTTATCAAAAACTAGTACCTTTGTTGAATAGGCATGACAAACTCAAATTTTTACCAGATGTTCCAACTATCAACTACTTATGAGCCCATTCTCCTAAAAATAAACTCCCTTATTAAAAAGATTTTATAAATCCGGTGATTATTTTAGGACTGGTGGACGGATAATTAGCATTATAAATATTCTGCAAACAAAGGCATGATCTAATCGCACTTGAGGAGGATGTCAAAACAGTGTGTAGCAAGGGTTAAAATATCACTTTGAACAGGTAGTATTCATGGTAAAGATGCACAATATCATTTACCCCAAAATCCGTACTTCTCCGAAAAAACATACTACTATCAAAACTTCAGTATCAAGTACCATTTCCATTCGAAGGACCAAACCAATACCTCTGAAACACCACTTATTTCTCATTTTAGTCGACGAGACGAAGTTAGAGTTCCCTCTAACCGTTCAATGAAGCAGTAGACTGTTGGCGACTCACGCATTAATTTGAGTAGCCGAGAGGAGTAGGAGGTGGCAGCGGATGCAGGCACGGTGTATCGACCGGTTTGGATGGCCAGGGCTGAACCCGACCCAAAAGGAAGGGCAAAGAAGCAGAGGCCGTAGAGGACGCATCCCAGTGCCCAAATATCAGCCGGCGGCCCAACTGCAACACCCGAGTAGAGGTCAACCATTTCAGGTGCCCGGTAGGCTAGGGTGGTGTATCTATAGGGCAGGGAATAAAGGAAATCACTACTGCAGTTTTCAATGAGGGCGATTTCATTAAGAACTAATAATAAATAATAATAATAATACTAATAAAACTCAATCGGAAGCGATTTATAACGCATTGCAGAAGGGAAACAATAACGAGCCGCAGAGTCTTGAAAAAGGTAACGGTAGAAAGATTCGGCATCAAGATATGCGAATTTTTAAATCAATGCCCCTGAGAGCATTGTTAAGGATAGACAAAAGAACATCCTATAACCGTAGAATAGTGAAGAAAAATAATTACAGTCGATCGAACATCAGAGAATTCTTGCGTACATCTTCATGAAGTTTATGCAATCTTGGAGCAAATTCCATCGAAACCTACGGTTGAAGTGAAGATGCCTTTCATATGGATGCAAATGAGTCACGTTGAATTCGTGTCTATACCGAGAGTGTGATTTTAATACCCTCGACTCCAACCGTGGTTATTGCGACTGCCAGCACGTAATTGTAACATCTGAGGGCACCAAGGACGAGAGGAAATGTGACATTTTCTCAACTGCGTTTCACACGTACACACAGATCATCAACCTCAACAACCTCATCGATGCGACGCTCTCACGTTTTCACCTACCTAAGCCCAGCGGCGCTTATGTGCAATGTGCCCTACCTATTTGGATGAGATTGGGTAGTGGATTTTCCCCCGAGACCCTGATGTCTACTATTTTAATATTGTCTTAAGCAGTCTTCTGAGAGAGCATTTGCAGGAGGCTTTTATTCAAGTGCAAGAGCGAATGAACTCGTCGGGAATCAGCAATATTTCCTCATTTTTACCTAAACCTGTGCTATTTGGATTAGTGAGCAGCTAGTTATGCAGTTACGTAGGAGTAGACACAAAAGGACTTCTCCGGGTGTAATTAAAGCAATGCAAATAAACACGGGTAAATCAAAAGTAGAAGAAGGATGTTTGTTTTGATGGTGTGCTTAGCAATGCGGGCACTCAAAGTCCAACAAACGCGGGCGACGAAGCTTTCACAAAAGCAGGAAAGTGAGCACACCTGTACAAATAAATCCGTTGGTACTTACCACCAAAAGAGCGATTTCAGAACTTCATGATAGGAAACACAAAGGGAGCACGACCTAAATTATCCCGTAGCGTACTACTTTGCTTTATTTAACCATTAGACATTTAAACAAGACAATATGAAAAAAGGGCAATTCTTCAGCATCCCAGCTTCAATTATTTTATAGCCCAGAATTTAATGAAAGGAGGGAAAAGGAAGATCCAAATTTCAGTGAATCCCTTCGTTAATGTGTACACTGACGTATCGATACTCCGTGACCTTCAGCTTAACCAGTGAAAAATGACCAGAGGAGGGTGGCTACCCAATGCATCTGATGTAAACTTGATTGAGGAATTAACATTTACCGATGTGTGAGTGAATGACAAGAAGTTGTAACTTTTGATGGTCAAAAGAAAGATGTGCATGCTAAATGGAGAATTAAGGTAAACAAGAACCACACGTGTGCAAAAATTAGCATCACAGAAATTACCACTTAAGACTTGAAGGAGAATAAGAGGGTTACATTAGCAAAGCCACCGAACCCCCTATTCTGCTGTCAAAAACAGACATTTGGTTTCTACACCAATGGATTGAAGCAAGGTGACATTATCCACAAGAGGCAAGTTCGTGAGGTAAAAGAAGGTTTTTTATTGCTGGGAGCAAGGACGAGAGTTGGACAGAGAGAGGCAGGTGGCGAAGCACTAGTGGTTCTTCAAGAGCCAATGAGAGGGCCTATTCACCGGTCACATTCGAGACTAGCAAAAATAAAATGACTTCGTTGCTAGGACAAAGTGGCAAAAACAGCACCAATTGTGTTAAATTGGTGCTGTTTCATTAAGACGTCATTCGAGTCCAGAAAAAAATATGTCCAGTTTTTTGGGCTAAAACAGACGGGGACAGAAAAAAACCCACACAATGAGCTTTGAACGGGCCATCGTGTACACACTGGAGTAACTTTTGATCTGGTTGGACTAGATAAAACTCGCAGGTCGCAGTGAGTTTAACTATTTGTTGTTGATCGCTTTTACATAAGATTTTAGAAAACAAGAAACGATGACAATAACGACATCACTGACAAGCATTATTTGGGTAAGATATATCACGAAGTGACAATAGGAATGCAGATGAAACGGAAATAAGCATCACTAAATTCACAATTTATCGAACCCCAAAGAACCAGTAGAACAACAATCTGGCAAAATGGTTGACTTTTGCTTGAAACTGATTAAGTATTTTACCGTTTCAAATTGGATAGGTAGAAAAGAAGTGCAAAGCAGCATGAGTTCGTAGAAGCACTAGAACAAGCAAAGCAGACGTGATTAACGAAGTAGAAAAGTAGAAAGGGGACGATCTTCCAACCGAAAATGAAATTCAATGGGCCGCGAAATTGCATTTCACTTGGAACGCCAACTGCTAATTTGATGACAGAGAGCTCAAAGCGCGAGAAGTGGGAGAGGAGAAGGGAAGGGGAGGGAAGCAAAGAGAAGTGAAGGCGTAGAGGTAGGAGAGGGAGTATGGGTAGTACACCACCCAACCAAACGTTTAGTTATTTAAACTGCTATTTACTGCATGGATTTGAAGCAAATTTTATCGCATATCAACCGGTCACGTAAAGGACCGGCAAGGAGGAGGGCGAAGATTGGTCAAATCGCAAACAATGAGAGAAGCGATTTCCGCATCACCGTTCCGTCCATATGGCTGCATTAAGGGATGTGGCCACAGTTGGTCGCATCTCACTGCATCTCGTTGCTATCACCTCAGGACCCCCACGCGGCCGCCCACCAAGCAGTTGAGCTCCCCTAAGCACTTAGTCAGAGTGAGGCTCCTGGACAGTGCCTGTGAGTTCATGAGCTTGCCATATCCACTATGTTTGTTGGTGAAAACACTTTGAAGTGCCTATTTCTATCGTTTTTATCCTCTTCTGTCCTGTCAGATATTTCTTGGCATTTTCAGCCGATGCAATCCCCCCCGCACTCACGATGAGGCAACTGTTTGGTCCCTCACGTCGCTATTACAAATAAACGACGCAATTGCCACCACAACGGCATAAAAGGCTTGCCTTTACCTCCACTAAAACAGTAATTCGGCTATTTAAACGAACAACATTGGTGTGGATGGCGGCTGAGTCGTGTGTCTTGATGTGTTTAAGACGAAGCACACGAGCCAGCTTTTCATTCGAAGTCGGGAATTTTGTAGTTGGACAACTTGAGCATGTGCATTCATCTCAGTCGATTGTTTAAGAGGCCGTCAAGTATACTCGTCAACTGTGAAGTCAACTCGTTTTCAAATGCCACACTTTACCAATATGTTAACAGTGACCCCATCCGTTCACTTCCTCTCATATTTTTCTATTCAGTGGGATTTGTTGTATGTATCCTGATAACAGAAGGAGATTCCAATTTGTGGGGCGTCCGTTTTGGCACATGCCAAGATGTCATCCCAGTTGAGGTTGGGCAGTTTCTTGCCAGATTTTCAATCATACCACACCTAACTCAAATTGGTGAGACCCTACCGAACATGGGAGCCAAGTACTCCCAAATTTTCTCCACAAGTCCTTCGTTTAATAGGCTAAACTAGGAGAGAAATTAACAACAAGCATTAAAACGATATTGGGAAGGATAATTAACTTCAAGGTCATACCTATGGAATGATTTGAGGTTTCAGCAAGTGCTCCAAATACAAGAGGACATTCAGCCACCATGTTGAAACAACAGGGATCAAGCATAGGGTTGAGCAGTTAGCCTTCCAGCCCTCATACCAGCGCTATTTATGAATCGCCATTTATAGGAGTATATTTAAAGAATTACAATGGGAATCGTTCGTTTATCGTCGACCCAAAAACACATTTTACAAATTCTTAGCCATTTATACAGCACTGACAGGCGGTAACTAAGGTCTTTAAAATACTTCATTTGCTAAAAGAACCACCATTAATGCACATGGTTTCTTTCCGAGACAAATACCTGGAAACGTCACATTTTTAAGGTTTTTTGCTTCTAGAGGTCCAGCTATGCAAAACATCCCTTAACAGCTTTACTTCAACGGCATTTCTGCCTCCCAACCATGTCTGCTTTCTAGGCGGCTTGTGATTGTGCGATTGTCAAGTGTCAAGACAGGGTGATAACCACTCGAAGCTTGGAGAAATGTCACTGAGAGGGTGCGCGAGATGAAATAGTACATCTCTCTCTATCGTGTAGTTCTTCACAGTGAAGAATGGAGACCTTCCCGCCCTAATGTGAGGCATCCACTCTTGAGTAATTTGTCACCAGAATCGAGTCGTTACAGTCATTTCATGGGTGTTCGCTGTTTAACTTACCTTTACTCGCACCTCCTCTAGCTTCATTACACAACATATCACGCAAAAAATGCTGGGAATGAAATATAAATGGGTCGCTCGTCCAAGCGGACCCCACATTTGCCAGGACCTATTCCAAAGATGTGATAGACTACTCCCCACCGAAATGCACGAGGTACATTACTACCACAAAACTTGAAAGTCCTTCCCGATGTCGCGTGACTCAATCGTGTCACATTGCCTTCCATCTTAAATGTGGTTTCAAATCCCTCCACTACTACTAAGGGGAGCAAAAAAGCTCTGCATCTGTTGTTATTTCTGATTACATAAACAATATTCTATGAAGATTTTCAATCCCTACCATCAAGGATTTTAAACTCCCTAGGCATGACCCTGCTTACATCTAATAACACCTAGAAACACCTACACCTTAGGACACATTTTTCACGCCACACTTTGTCTCGTGTAATCAAACTGCGTTTGTCTTTGTTTCAAAAAGTATCTCGTTCAGTCTGTAGCAATTAAAGGGAACACTGCTATGGAGTAAAACGATATCTATTCCAGGCATACGTTAGTAACCACACGAGAGCCTCAGTTACCACCGCATTTTGCTTGTCACTTTGATGAGGCTGCATCCCGTCGTCGTCGTCATCGTCGTCTAGGTCCTCAACCTTTTAGCTCTTCTCCAAGAAAATAACTACTGTCTTACTATACTGGCGTCTTCTGCGACGACTGAAAGGCGTTAACAGCAACCAATCGAGAATTTGGGTCTTTTAAGACAGACCTCACCCAGATACTTTGAGAAATCATCCAACCAAACATGCAAATGCAACAATTACTGTTTTCAAGCTCAAGTTATGGAAGAATGGTGAAAAGCATCTACTTTTAGAGGCAAAAATGGAGGATCAGAGCCAATATTCACCCAAAGTAGTGGCCACAGAGTGGATAAATAGCAACGTGAAGAGAATGGACAAACCATTTTCACTTCAATAAGACCGAATTCATTGAGGAATTGGCATCCCCTTGACATCTATCATTCTTTTGAACCAAAGATAAGCAAGAGATCTTACCGGACCGTCCGCGATAAAGTGGTCAAGACGTTCAGGAACCAACGCAAAAAAAACGATAATAGCCAGGCTAGAGACCGCACGAAGACATCAAAACGATACAGTAATTAATTGAGTCAAAGGTCCAATCTACCCGTCCACACAGACGTGAAATGTGCGCGCGAACTACAAGGTTTCAGTTCACCGGCTGAAACAAACATTACAGCGGTGTTTGATCAACAGCCCTCGTGATAAGTCACAAACATGGAGATGTGACGGAGTGATGATGCAAAAATCCATGCCTGTTGCAATGGTTACTCATCAAACCAACATACGACGTGGATGTAACAAGATGTTCCATTTGGATTTTAATAGAAATTTTTATGAGTTTAAATTAACTTTAAACACCTAATTTATCCCAAAAATGCACGTCGATTCAAAACAAAGGTTTTTTGACCAATTGAGGCTCTATCAAAATTCTATCTGATGCTGGAATTTTTTTTAATCGGAGACAATTACAGGGGAAGGTAGCCTAAGATTTACTTCCGCTACCAACGTCACTTGTATGTGACAACGTGTTCTTCAATACTTTACGATAAGTAATTGAACCAAAAATTGTTTCAAACAGGTCAGATGAGTTTAAAAAGGAGAAAATAGAAAATGCCTTTCGCCTAGTGCAAATTTTAGATTTTCATCAGCACAACTTTTGCGGGTTGTGATGGTCCATTCTCCCCTGAGACTCGGGTAGACACCGTGTTAGGGGGCTTATCTCCACCGTGACAGTAAATTAAACAAGGCCTCCAGATGCTTAAATATCGTCCAGAGCATTGGTAGCCAAGACTATGACCAGCCATGGAGAATCATACAATAGTCCTTCACATTTTAGAGGTATGGATCCGGAGAGTTTAATTGCACTGGCCCTTCCTCCCCACTGATATAGCGTTCCGTCCATGTCATTTCTGTTAACAGCCCACCAACCCTTCTGCTTATTGATAATTAGGTTCTGTCCACAGCCGTACGTCTTACAATTGTCTACAGGATTGACTCTGAAGCCGTATAACATTGAAGACGGGTGTTAAAATGCGGAATGACAAAGCTGTTTCCAGAAGGCCTCAAGACTTTTCTCCAGACGTATACACTGAAAAATGCTTAGTGAGCTGGCCTGACCTGAACCACTTGGACCACCACCCCCAAAGCAACTGTGAGGGAGATATCAACAAACAAAAATT